GTTTAGGGTTTAGGGTTTAGGGTTTAGGGTTTAGGGTTTAGGAGTTTACGGTCCATGGCTCAGCACAAGCGCGCTGGTGGCACCAGTTTGTCAATGTGCCTAGTCCGCACGGCTTCAAAGTCAGAAGTCCAACTGCCTCTGCGGTCGGGACGCGCCTTGAATTTCCCAACATCTCAGACTCTTGTGCAACTACCTCTTGTAGATTCAGGGGTAGTTTTTAAGTCGGGTTGCAAGTACCTAGGTAGGTACCGTAAGTAAGGTTATAAGTATAGGTATCCTACTTGTAGCCCTGCTTATAGCTAGCCATGAAGCTCCAAGTAGCAAGCCGTTATAGACCCTAGGCAGCCAGGACCTGTCATGCCGGTGGTGCCCAACATGATTTTTACTCATCTTCTGTCCATCAGTAGCCCAGATTGCAAGTTCTGCTCTGTCAATTTAGGGTTTAGGGGTTAGGGCCTTTAGGGTTTAGGGTTTAGGGTTTGAAGGTTTAGTCTAAATCATAAAACTCGTGAGAATTCAAGCGCGCGCCCCAGGGCTTAGGCCCCGCCTCTTGGTAGCTGGGCAGCACTCCCAAAAGTCCTTGTCTTAGTAGCTGAGTAGGGAACCTTTCACTTTTGGGGTATATAGAATCCTACCATAATTATTGAAAGGTTAACCTTTTTTGGCCCAGGATACTCAGCAACTAGGTTGTGCTTTGGTGGCTTACTGCTGAGTTATCTTCTGCTTGCTCCCAGCAGGCATGTCCAACGTTTTTCAGATTTCTTTTTCAATCGCTGACAGTTTGTGCAAGAATATATGTATATATGTACACACATATGCACACACGCACATGTTCATGCATGTTTGCAGGTGCCGAACAAGAGAGTAAACAACGACCCATATATGTAAGCCCTCAAAACAGTGGCAAGCAGGCGCTGGAATCTGCAAGCCTCAACCCATGATTGCACATGGAAGCTATTAGCCCCAAGGGAACTTTCAAAAGATGCCTAAACCCTAACCCTAAACCCTTAACCCTAAACCCTTAACCCTAAACCCTAACCCTCAACCCTCAACCCTCAACCCTAAACCGGAACCCCTTAAGGAAGGCAAGGGACCATGTGAAGCAAGTTTAAGGCTTAGGGCTTGTGAATAAACCCAAAAATATCTGGTTTAGGGCTAAACCCTAAACCCTAAACCCTAAACCCTAAACCCTAAACCCTAAACCCTAAACCCTAAACCCTAAACCCTAAACCCTAAACCCTAAACCCTAAACCCTAAACCCTAAACCCTAGCCTTAGGGAAGCCAGGTCACCAGGTCGATAGCGTGCGCCTGGCCCTTGAGCTGCATCAAGCCCTTGCAAAACTCCGTGATGGTGATCCTTAGCATGTGGGTTTAGGGTTTAGGGTTTAGGGTTTAGGGTTTAGGGTTTAGGGTTTAGAGTTTAGGGTTTAGGGTTTAGGGTGCTTCCCCTTGTAGTACTGTAACAGTCCTTCATAGGGATGAGAGTTCCCCCGATGATAATCCCTACTAAGGAGCTGTTAGTATAAAGGCGGAGCATCCCAAGCTGAGGGCTCTTAGATCTTCCCAGAAAGCCCAACGCAAGCAATTTAGGGTTAGGGAAGCAAGTAGCAGACCCCCCCCCCCCTCCCTCGAATCGCAAAAGTTGCGGGGCTCTTCCTGCATAACACCGGGGTTATTCAACTCTGGGCTCCCATAAACTAACCCTGAACCCTAAACCCTTTTGCCTAAACCCTAAACCCTAAACCCCAAACCCTAAACCCTAAACCCTACACCACGCCAAACCCTGGTTGAGGAGAAACATCCCTGAACATCGGCTCTCAGGGTACAATCTTCCTTAAATAGATTAGGATCCCAGCGGTTTAGGGCTTTCTTTCAGAAAGAACATCATATACTGGGCCAGCCACATACACTAGGGAGTGCTGGCGTGCATGCTGCTCTGGACACATGTTCAGTACTGTGGCGGCTCTCAACAGGAGGCCTCAGGCTCAACGGCTGAGGGGAAGCTACAAGGGCTTAGGGTTTAGGGTTTAGGGTTTCCTGAGCACTACTTGGAGGTTCATGAGTAGTTGTTAGTGGGGTTATAAGTAGGGTAACCATACTTATAACCCTATGTAGGGTACTTATCACCCTACTTATGACTACCCATGAACCTGCAAGTACTTAGAGGAGTCTTTAGCCACAATTGTTCTTTTTCCTGGAAACATTGTGCCTTTTTTTAAGGTTATCCACAGGGCTACTCTAGTCTTAGGCAATCCCAAAGGAGCTGAAGCCCCTATGCATGCAACCTGTGGCCGCAGAACAGCTTCCCAGCCAGCCGCTTTCCTTGAAGGCCCCCAAGAAGAGTTCGCCAGCCAGGGCGGCGAAACCCCAAAGACATATTTCAAATTTTGCAAAATAAAATTCTGGCCAGCCTGCTCGCGCGCCTTTCTTCTGCCCTAATCCCAACGCCCCGAACTCAAGATGAAGAAGTCTCCCAACCCTGATCTCCCAACCCTGAACATAGATGCCTGAATCCTCCCAAACTGCAGACCCTGCTTGAAGGTTCATGGCTAGAAATCGTTGGGTTAAAGTACCCTAAATAAGGTTACAACCAGTGTGTACTATAAGTAGGGTATGAGCCCTAAGCCCTAACCCAAAAACACACACACACACACACACTTACTTACCCTAAGCCCTAAACCCTAAACCCTAAACCCTGAACCCTGAACCCTGAACCCTGAACCCTGAACCCTACACCATGAAACCCAACGTCCCGTTCTTGCCCCGCGCAGGTCAAGTCCCAAGACTTGCATCTCAGTCCGGAGGACCCGCAGGGTTTAGGGTTTAGGGTTTAGGGTTTAGGTTTTAGGGTTTAGGGTTTAGGGTTTAGGGTTTAGGGTTTAGGGTTCGGGTTTAAAGTTTAGGGTGTGGGGCTGAGCATTTGTGGTTTATAAGGGGTTTAGGGCGCAGAGTTTGAGAGTTACGTGTTTAAGGGCTTGGGTTTGGGGAGTACCTTAGTTTAACAACCTGACACGATGTGTTGTAGGTTGCCAGCAAATGCTTCGAAGGCCGTAGAACCTTAACCTACAGGGTGGGGGGAGGTGGTGGGGAGGTCGGGGGGGGGGGGAGGGGGGGGGGTCGTGGGTTTTACATGGAGGTACACGGAACGGAATTTACAGGATTACGTGTGCCGAATGGTTACAAGCGTTTTTACCCAAAGCCCTGAAACCCTAAAACTCATGGTATAAGAACCGCGGGGTTGAGCGTTGTTGGCAGCGCTGTTTAGGGTTTAGGGTTTAGGGTTTAGAGTTTAGTGTTAAGGGTTTACCCTTCAGTCCTATGTCGGGCTTTTGTGGTCTGTGCGATCTCGCCCACGGCCTTAAACGTGAAGTCGTGGGTGGAATGCTTGTCCTTTGGAGGTTCAAGCAGTTCATGTGGGAGAGTACGTAATCCCCACCAGTTTTCGTTTTCCACTGCCCTCAAGGTCCATGTACCTCATAAATATATACTGCTGTATAGGAGGTGCTGCAAGGCACATGGTCCCTCGGGGAGGATCTTGCCTATAAGCCCGAACCCTAAACCCTAAACCCTAAACCCTCACCCCTAACCCCTCACATCACCCCTCACCCCTCACCCCTCACCCCTCACCCCTCACCCCTCACCCCTCACCCTCACCCCTCACCCCCACCCCCCCCCCCTCACCCCTCACCCCTCACCCCTCACCCCTCACCCCTCACCCCTCACCCCTCACCCCTCACCCCTCACCCCTCACCCCTCAACCCTACCCGAACCTGGTGCTTCTGAGGTGCAGGTGCACCCTGAGCCTCTGAACACATCCTTGACTGAATCCCTTGGGTAGTTGCAAGTAGCGTCCTTGGTAGGATAACTACATATATATATATACATATACATATTGTTGTAGCCTTGGCCAGGGTACTTATAACCCTACTTGTGGCTGCCCGTGGGCCCCCGGGTGTATAAGCCTGCTGCAGCACGGTGCTCCTGTTCAGGGTCTAGGGTTGTCCGAAATCTTGAAACTCTGAAACCCTAAACGCCGAAACCCTAAACCCTAAACACCCTGAATACCTTAACTAAATACTGTACCCTAAGCACCCTAAATACCTTATATACCCTGAGTACCCTGAAGCCCCTGAAACCCCTGAAGCCCCTGAAGCCCCTGAAGCCCTACACGATCTGCTCAGGAGTGGATTCGAGAGCTCAATGGCGAGGACGGAGGGGGTTAGGGTTTAGGGTTTAGGGTTTGGGGTTTAGGGGTTAAGGGTTAGGGGTTAGGGGTTACAGTTAGGGCTGTCGGAGATCACGAAGGGGGGGATTATGTGAAGTACCAGGTGTTGGGGTTCACTGGTCAGGTCTGGATTGCAGGAACTGTCAGGAACATGTTGTTCCCGGATGTGTGGCTGTGGGTTTCATGTGGCTATGCTCAGAACTGGAGCTAGTGCCCTTTTCTAATTACTTACGCTTAAATCTAAAAGCTAGTTTGCTAGTGAACCTGAGCATGTTTTGTTTTTCGGCAGCTGGGAAAATAAGGTTTTTACCAAGTTGCTGGCTTTGATCTACGGGCAGTCGCCTAAATTGCGGACTCTTGGGGTCCTTCTTTTACGGGTCCCGTACTACAGACGGATTTACAAAGGTACCCGAATTTAGAATCGCACTTTTTTTTTTATGTATATGTATGTATAGTATATACATATATGCATATATATATATATAGATATTATGTATTCATTCCCGACTCCCCTCAGGTATCAGTAAGCTAGGCGAGGTACGAGCCGCGGTTCATTGATGAACCGACGTCAGCAATTATGCAGAGCGCTCCCATCAAAAGCCCTCCAAGTCACTTTTGCCCGAAACCCCTGAATTGCGCCCCAGTTCCGCTTACCTAGACGAACCTGAGCAACCGTGACGGGGAAAGTGTACCTCAATGTTGGGACATATTTCTGTACCCTTCCCTATTGCAGGGTAGATAGGTTCCCTAGGTACGCACCATCATGAGTCGCCCATGCAAATGTTGGGGTCGGTCCCCAGCAAGGTGACAGGCTTCGCGTTCCTCCGCACAGCTACCAACGAGTCCCAACCCCCTAAACCCTGATTCCTCAAGCCCCTGAGCCTCCCAGAAGCCCTAGATGCGGAATCGAGTACATAGTTCCTAAACCCTAAACCCTAAGCCCTAAACCCTAAACCCAAAAATCCTGAAACCTAAGTCCTGTACACAAACTGGCTGCATTCTGGGGGTCGAGGGTCAGGGGCTAGGGATATTGTTTTTGTTTTTTAAACCCTAAATCCTAAAACCTAAGCCCTAAGCTACAGGAATTGGCTGGCCGTGTTTATGACAACCTGGAGAAGCTTAAGGCCTGGCAATGGTCTAGCGCTGCTTTATTTTAGGGTTTAGGGTTTAGGGTTTAGGGTTTTATCTCAGAGCTCCATGTGGGGATTTCCGCAAACATTGGTACCCTTTCGTGGTTTCATGGTTTCGGGTTTCGGTATTGGTCAGGTTTCGGATCAAATTATTTTGGGGAACTTAGCCCTAAACCCTAAACCCTAAGCCCTAAACCCTAAACCCTAAACCTAAACCCTAGGGTGCGCGTGCTTTGGGATTTGGGGTTGGGGTGTGTAGCTTCCGGACCCGGAAGCCCAAACCGAGTTAACCCTAAAGCCTAAACTGTAAGCTCCGCAGCCCCAAGGGCCTAAAGACCCTATAGGGTTTAGGGTTTAGGGTTTAGGGTTTAGGGTTTAGGGTTTAGGGTTTAGGGTTTAGGGTTTAGGGTTTAGGGTTTAGGAATGCAAGGGTAGTTACGTGGTGCCTTAATATGGTCCCGTACCTTCTTTCATGGCTTCTGAAGCATTGGGGAGTATGCAAGGGTCCCCGTTTGAGGGCCCATATTAAGGGACTAGCTACCCGTAGGAATCAAACCAGCCATGCAAGCCCGGTCCTGCTTCTGGCATGGGCTTGGCATTTGAAAGCCCTGCGCGCCTAAAACCCTAAATCCCAAAAGCCGAGAACTGAACCTTCAGAGAACCCTACATTTGCAGGTATTCGTAAAGGTGAGGGCACTCTCTGAACACCAAAACCTAAACCATCCTAAACCCTACCTGACCCCCCATGACCAGTGTTCCCTACGTCTGAAACCCTGAAACCTACAAAATCTCTAAGCCCGCAATGAACCAGGCCAAGAAGAAGCAGGACGACATCCGCGCCAAGCAGAAGGAGGAGGCGAAACAACAAGTCTTCGCAGCCTGGCCAGCATTGACTGCACTGGGTGGTGTTAGGGTTTAGGGTTTATAGGGTTTAGGGTTTATAGGGTTTAGGGTTTAGGGTTTAGGGTTTAGGGTTTAGGGTTTAGGGTTTAGGGTTTAGGGGGTGCGGTGCGAAGTTGGGCACAAGGTTTCAAGGCTCGTAGGGTTGGTCTTTGGAAGCGACAGGTTGCAGTGCAGACTTGGGGCATTGTAGGAGGTCTGTGCTCAGCAGTTTAGGGTTTGGGGCGGCCTAGGTCTGCATCGTAGTCTGGTGCTTCACGGCATCAATGTTTTTTTTTCACATGGCAGGTTTCCCCGCAACATTCTGCAACAAATGTTCTTGGTGAAAGGCCCGCACATGAACCATGCAAGAGTTCAAAGGCTTGACCACCAGATTTCAGCAGGGGCGAGGTTGCGTGGACGACCCGAAGCCCTCAATCCTGTCACACAAGATTCACCCTAAGCCCTAAACCCTAACCCTCAACCCTAAACCCTAAGCCCTAAACCCTAAACCTTAAACCCTAAACCCTAAACCCAAACAAGTTGCTGTGCTCTCTACCTGACCGCCCAGGCTCAGGAGGCCAAAAAGCAGGAAGCAACCTTCGAGGTCCAGCCTTAGTCAGGGAGCATAGGGCTGCGAGGGTTTGAAAAGCTTACGTGGTTTAGGGTTTAGGGTTTAGGTTTTAGGGTTTAGGGTTTACGGAATGTAAGGCCCAGTACTCCTTCAATTACGGAGTTTCTTGAGCTATACAGGAGGTCAAGAACGCGGTATAGAAGCAGGGTCTCGGGTGTGGAGCTTGCTGTCTTAGGTTGTAAGGTTTGCTGTCAAAAGGTTGCGTGTTGAAACACAAGTCAAGTCTTCGCGGGGTGTTAGGGCTTGCTGTAAGGTCCTCTGGGAAAGGCACGAGACCTGCGAACATGCACGATCAGGCCTTGTTCTCATTTGAAAGAAAGCCTCCTGCTTTCATATGGATCCAGATAGGACCCTAAACCCTACGCCCTGAGCCCTAAGCCCTAAACCCTCAACCCTAAACCCTCCTCCCCCCCCCCCCCCCCCCTCCAAAACCCTAAACGAGAGGGTTTCAAGGATCATCCCAGGGATGCTCCCCCTTTGGGTTGAGTGTGCTACGGCTTGGGATTCGCTGCTTTCATACCCTTGGTTCCCTTGTGGTACCCTTTACCCCAAATTTTTCCCCTGGTTCCCTTATAAAAGTAACCAACCAGAAAAAGGGTGTCCTTATCATAATATGGCTACTCGGCTACCAAGTATCGCTTAGGATTCGTATCTTCGTGTCTCTCCGAAACCGTAGGGGTGTGTTCGATGGTTTCCCATTCTGAGTTTACTTGATAGCTCAGTTTGCCTAAACCCTAAACCCTGAACCCTAAACCCTAAACCCTAAACCCTAAACCCTAAACCCTAAACCCTAAACCCTAAACCCTAAACCCCCCCCCCCCCCCCCTGAAAACTCCCCAGGTGGATGAAGAAGCCGCACCTCGGGTCGGCACGAGCTTTGCCTCGAGAGTTGCTAAGGGGTATAGGGACCCCCAAGAAGGGACCCTTTAATCTTATAACCCTAAACCCTAAACCCCCTAAACCCCCTAAACCCCCTAAACCCCCTAAACCCCCTAAACCCCCTAAACCCCCTAAACCCCCTAAACCCCCTAAACCCCCTAAACCCCAAACCCTCAACTCGCAACCCTAAACCCTAAACCCTAACCCTAAACCGCAACCCCCCTTGATAAGGGTCCCTTGCTTAGTTTCTTAGGAGTTTCTCTCAGCTAAGTTGTAGCTTCATAAACCCACAACCCTTTGCGGCAGGGTGGGGTTTAATGTTTGAGATTGGTTGAGGCCTCTAGGGTTTAGGGTTGCGCTTGAGGGTCTAAGAGAAATCATGATTCGGGTTGTAAGTGCCCTAAGCCAAAATAAGGTCAAGGCAAGTATACCTACAGCGACTGCATTTGGTGACTCTCCAAGTGTTCATCACAGGCTGCCTGAGAATGCTCTCAGGGGCTTCTTCTTTCAATGGCCCCACCCAAAAGCTCTTGGGGGTTGTAGGCTAGGGCTTCAAAGATTTGATGGTTTCCGAAATCAAATAGGGGTACCCTCTTGGGGTCCTCATTTTCAAGGGCATCCTACTAAGCCCTAATATTCCGGGGGGAGGGGGGGGTTATTTTAGGGTCCCCTGTTTTCGTAAGCCCCCTATTTAGGGTGGACCGGCCTAAGGCCTCGGGTTTTGGGGTGCAGGGGTCAATTTCGGTACCCGAGCGGCTGCCAGACTAGTAAGAAAGAATCTGCGCGGATGGAGACCTGAAAAGGTCCCTCAACCCTACACCCCAAACCCTAAACCCTATATAAAACCCTAAACCCTAAAACCCTAAAGCCCTAAAACCCTAAAACCCTAAACCCTAAACCCCAAACCCTAAACCCTAAACCCTAACCCCTAACCCTTCACTAAACCCTAAACCCCAAACCCCATAAACCCCAAACCCCATGAACCACTGGAGATGGCAAATGATGGCAATCTGGCTCTGGACTCGTGCTTGGGGGGTCGAACCTCGACCTGGCTGTCGGGCCACGAACGCCCTCTACCCTGCTTGGAGGTTCATGGGTAGTTATGTAGGGTTTAGGGTTTAGGGTTTAGGGTTTAGGCAAGTTTTGGGTTTAGGGTTTCCAGTTATAAGTATAGATATTTTTCTCCGAGTTGAGCTTGGTTTGCGAGTCCACCGTCTTGGTGTTTGGGACCGGAGTCCGTACTGCTAAGTACCACTACACTATCTTGAGCAGCAGAGGCTAACTGTACAGGTAAAGCCTTCTGCTACTAGTGCCACTACTGAGGGTGGGACCTCAAGCCTATGAGGTCATTGCCTCAGCCTCTCACTAGAGGGTGGCACCTCTCGCTGCTGCTAAGCTCCACCGAGCCCCACCAATCGCTCCTCTTCCCAGTACTGAGTGAGAGGGTAGCCCCTATCTGTGGGTGCGGATTGCCTCATGTCCGCTTGCAAACTACCCTTCTCCCTTTCCTGTCAGTAAGAGGGCATCCCTCCTGGTGCACAGCAAGGCATATACATTCTGCACTCAGAACCTGCGACCCCTCGGCCACAGGCACCAATTACCTGTACAAATTGGCTTGGCCCAGCTACAGGGTTGTCCGCCTGCTTCGGCTGAGAGGAAAGAACTGCCGTGACTGCTCAGCCTGCAGCCCTGTGGGCCCTGGGCAGTGAAGCCCGCCACTTCACAGCCCGAGGATGCCACCTCCACACTCCTGGCGTCTGGCACTCCAGGACACTGTGTGGAGGGTTCCAGAAAGCACCTCCTGAAAACTACCCTGTGCGAGGGTGGATGGGACCACCTGGACAAGGCTTATGTCGACAGGCTTGGGGACACTGCACCCCTCAACTTGGTATATTTGGCGCAGGGTCGACGCCTCCCCTCAACAAGGCGCGGGGACCACGCTTTCCCCTCAATTCCCCCATGCACGAAGTGCACTGGCGCGGGGAAACACGCCAGGCAGAAGCCAAACCCATAAACATAAACCTCAGGCAGCGCCTAAGGCGGAAACTTGCCTCTGGTAGCTATCCCACTCTCAAGCACTGCCGCCAGTGTGGATTTACTGTAGATGAGTCCCAGGCAAGGCCAAGGTGGACAAACTAAAGCTCCTGACACTAAGCTTGGTAGGCCTGGGCATACCCCAGCATGACAAAGGTCAGGAGGGCCTTATACCACTCATCTCAAACAGGATAAAACCTCTGGCTGTGTGAGTCACGAAAGAGCCCGCCAGATCTATCTCACACTTCAAGCCAATGTTGTACTGGTTAGCAGCCAGTGTAGGCGAAAGCCCGTTACAAGCCACAGACAATGTAGCAGGCTTCCAGAAGGGGGCATGTGCTTTCGGCCTGCTGGCCACTGCATCACGTTCCCTAATCGCCACTGCAGACTCCCAAACTTCCAGCTTCCTAACTCCAGCTCTCCAGGGATTGCAAGCGGTGGCAACAGGCTGTACAGACCAGTTGCTCAAGTTCGCCGCAGCTCCGGCTTTCACTCTCTTACTAACCGTGCCTTGCGGTCCCCCCCGAGCATACTGGGCTGATCCCTGCCCGCCGGCCCTTGCCCCTATCTGTTCGGGTCAGAGGGTCTGCACCTCTCTGCTGCCTCGGTGCCACTTGGCCACGAAGCCCATGGAAGGCATCCCTGTTTGGCACGCTCGCTGAAACTCTGCTCCAGGGACTGGGCATCGCGGAAGTGCCCTGCCCTGGTAGTTCGCTCCAGTCGAAGGATGCACCTTCCCTCTCGGCTCACCTCTGAGGTTATGATAGCCAGGCTATCCCTCTTAGAGGGTGGGCTCCATGGCATCTAGGCAGCTACCCTACCTGAAAACTGCCTACCACTTGCCTTCTCACTCGAGCCGAGAGCCTTGAGCCATAAGTATAGATACCCTGCTTCCAGACCACTTCTGTTCTACCCATGAACCTCCAAGTAGAACCCGAAAACACACCACAGCGCCTCAAGGTGGGGCAAATGCGACTGGTCCTCCTGTCGGGGATGGGACGGGGGGGCTTCTCAGGCGCAACAACACCCCAGGGTTCTTCGGGGTTCAGGGAGTAACCTCCTGACAACCCCTTCTTTGTAAGCCCTACACCCTAAACCCTAAACCCTAAGCCCTAAGCCCTAAACCCTAAACCCTAAACCCTCTATAAATTCAAGCCCACATCCCCCAAAAGCGCTATGAAGCCTACACCCAACCGTTTCCTCTGCAGCAGCAACTCAAACAGGCATCGAGGCACGGACCTGGGAGGCTTGAAGGGGTTTAGGGTTTAGGGTTTAGGGTTTAGGGTTTAGGGTTTAGGGTTTGGGGTTTAGGGTTTAGGGTTTAGGGTTTAGGGTTTAGGGTTTAGGGTTTAGGAAAGGAGAGGAAACCTATACAAATACTTGGCGCGCTCGGGGCCCTGCCCCCTGGTTCTTAGTAGGGAATAAGGGAATTCGGGCCCTATTATAATCTCTTAAAGGGTATTTGTCGAGCCCGAATTCTCTCCTTCCTTACTAAGAACCCGCCTGGCCTGTTGGGGTTGAAGCTCCTTCAACCCTTACCTGAACACAAGATGTCCCATGAGGCCAAGAAGCAGAAGATGAGGGAACGCAAATCTCGAGTGCGGGCCCCATCCGGGTCCCTCCCCCTCGGGTATCCGTTTTGCGTTTGTGTGTGGTTGGTTCTCTCATCTCTCTCTCCCTCTCTCTCTCTCCGTGTCTGTGTCTGTGAACATGTCTCTGTGTGTTGTGTCCGTGTCTCTGTGTCTCTGCGCGCTCGTACCCAAATGAAGCCCAGCGACCTCTGGCTTTTTCGGGCCCAGACACAAACCTATGAGAATACGAGGGTCACTGTAGAGCCCAGAGGTTTAGGGTTGGCAGGCTACTAAATTTGCGTTCAATGAGCGAACCAGAAATCGTTTTGGCATTGTGCTTGTGGCTACGTATTCTATCTTTACATGTATTCGGGCATGCACTATGATGAAACGGGCGTCCTCCCCAAACCCCCAAAACTTGAAACCCTAGACTTTACCCTACAGCAATGACGCTAGACCTCAAGTTTGCAAAGCTAGACGCTGTGTGAGGCAACCATCACTGGCTTTTCCGAGGAGGATCAGCAAAAGGCGTGTCTTCACGTTGTTTGTGACTTGAGGTGCTGCAGGTGTAGGTGTTCGGATGTAGGGTTTAGACAATTTCAGGTTTAGTTCAGAGTTTCTGCGTGGTACTAGTGGTACTAGTAGTACTAGTAGTACAAGTAGTACAAGTAGTACTAGTAGTTCTAGTAGTACTAGTAGTAGTTGTCGTCGTCGTAGTAGTCGCAGTAGTCGTAGTAGTCGTAGTAGTCGTAGCAGCAGCAGTAGCAGCAGCAGCAGCAGCAGCAGCAGCAGCAGCAGCAGCAGCAGCAGCAGCAGCAGCAGCAGCAGCAGCAGCAGCAGCTGGCAGCCAACATGCCTTTGCCTCGAGATGTGCAGGTGTTGATGGGACTTCTCGCAGCATGTCACCAGTACGACATGGTCGAGTTGGAGAAAGGACCGATGTCAGTAAGTGCCAAACAATATTAAACCTCTTAGACATGCCACTATGATTTAATTGCAGTTGCTGCGTTTTTGTGGTTGCACTCTTTCAGAACATGCATACATAGTCGGCATATCGTGGTAGGCCTGACTGTATGCAAGAGCTGTGCAGCGGTATGGACGCTCAAACGAACCCTTGGCAAAGCTTTCAGAGCCATGCTGCACATCGCAGCTTTTCGGCCAGCTTTGATGGGTATGTCAGTACGGCCTTCACAAACAGGTTGGGCTTTCAATTCGTCATGCTTGTTGTTTGCTTTTCTTGCTTGCTTGCTTGCGTGCTTGCTTGCTTGCCTGGTTGTTTGCTTTGTTTGCTTGCTTGGTTCCTTGTCGTTGTCGTGGTAAATTGTTGCTTTTGTCGAGGTGTGGTGTTTTACCCGCCGCTGCAGACCTCGTGCAGGCTTGCTTGCACATGAACGCCGCAATCGGCGAGGGTTGCAAGTCGGGTTCCGGTCCGAGGCTGACAGAAATGGGGGGGTTTCCGAAATAGGGTACTCCTGAAATAGACCCCTCAAAGAGTAGGATTCCCTTAAAATTACGAGAAACCCCCTCAAAATAGTTGGATTCCCTGAAAATTGCGAGAATTCCCCCAAATGTAGCCTGTAGCATCATGCAGGACTCGGCGAAGCGATCGCGCAGGGCATCGATCCCTGCGACACCCTCGACCGGGCGCAGGCTTGGTTTAGGGTTTAGGGTTTATAAGGTTTAGGGTTTAGGGTTTAGGGTTTAGGGTTTAGGGTTTAGGGTTTAGGGCTTAGGGCTTAGGGTTTAGGGTTTAGGGTTTAGGGTTTAGGGTTTAGGTAGATGACGATGTTGAGTTTTAGGAGTTTTGAGCTTTGAGATACTTCTGCTACTGGCTCCAGTACCATCAAGAAAGGCCCTAAACCCTAGTTGTAGACCCTAAGAACTCTAAACCTTGTGCTACCCAGACACCTACGGCCCGAGGCCTCGGGGGATTGGCAATATTCTCTGCTCACAGACTCACAGTCCCTTCGTTAGGTCCTGTACAATTGTAGCATAAAATACCCGAACTACACGACATGATGATTAGGGTTTTTAAGTTTAGGGTTTCTGCCGAGTGCCCTTGGCAGTTGCTAGCGAGAGTAGCCTGTATGCCCTGGAGCAAGAACCCTAAACCCTAAACCCTAAACCCTAAACCCTGGCAACGGGGGCTGACGGCCACCATCACCAAAGCATGATTGTGGGTTTAGTGCTTCGCACCGAAACTCGGTGAGGAAAAGTAAAGCTACACCTACACATCTCCCCTAAACCCTAAACCCTGGTGATATACGGTTAGGTGGTATTTCAAAAAGCGTGTTATTATCTGCTCCTTGTAAACTACCAAGCTCTGAAATCAGCCCTTCATCCAACTTCAGAGCCCTCACAGCTTCTCCTAGTCAAGATTCCCAGCCCTCCAGGCTTAGGGTTCCGAGGTTTAACGGCTTAGGGTTTAGGGTTTAGGGGTTTTGGTTTAGGGTTTTGGGTTTTGGGAATTGGGAATTGAGATTACCTGCTAGCACCCATGTGGTGCCCCGGAACAACATTAGAGCCGCAGGACCTGTTCCAGAAGATGTCCACTGAGGTGCCCCAGCTCTGAGCTTCAGGGTTGAGGGCTATGTAAGGCTTTTGGGGGGTTGCTTAACCTTTTTCAGGGTTAGGGTTTTAGGGTTTAGGGTTTAGAGTTAGGGTTTAGGGCGGAGCTTGGGTGGTTTGACAGTGTACCGTTGAATGGTGATGTGGCAGAGCTCCCGCATCCCTCGCCCCTCTGATGTCAATATGGGGGTTTACGAAATAGGGGACCCCTAATATAGCCCCCAAAATACTAGGGTTTAGGGTTTAGGGTTTAGGGTTCCCCCCTTTTGAACCCCGATAAGGTACCCTCCAATTTCGCAAACCTCCTCATGTTGCATCCTCCGGCGGACTCCTTTTGGGAAGATGGCGATTCACGGTTTGGAGGCGATGGCTGGCAGCAGAAAAGTTATGCAGGATTTCCTTTAGCTGTGAACATACCGCGCCTGCCTGCCCTACCCAAAAGTCAACGGCGGAGCGGCAGCAGCCCCAACCCAAACCCCGTGACCTGTCATCGTAGACTATTCATTGGGATGTTCCCCTTATTCTAACAGTTCCTTAGTAGGGAGTATAGTAACCTCTATTATAATCCCTCTTTGAACATCCCATTCATATATCAACCCATGGCCCCGCGAAGCCTAAAGCCGGCGATGCCCGCTGAACGCCCTGCGCTCTCAGGAATTCCTGACGGAAAAGATGCAGGAGCTACAGGCGTGGGTTCCATTGAAGCCCAACATACCCTCAACCCTCTCTCTCTCTCTCTCTCTCTCTCTCTCTCTCCAGACTCTACATATACGGGAGAGCGAGTTTAGGGTTTAGGGTTCAGGGGGCTTCAGGGTTTGGGGTCTAACCCCTGCAGAAAATCTGGAATTAAGGGGTGCCGCGGTCTGTGCGTTGAGCCCCCCCGAAACCCAGAACCCCAGAAGCCCGAACCCTCGTTGCCCTAGCTGAGGGTTTCGTGTTTACCTCGAAGTTCCCCGAGCCCCAAGCCCCCAACTCCTAAACCAGATGTCCGATACTCCCAAGCCCTGCACTCGAAGGTCTTCCCTAGAAACCCTAAACCCTAAACCCTAAACCCCCCGCCCCATTAGACCATGCACATCATGTACCCACACGAAGTGCCTCTCCCACGAGGTGCCCCTGCAGGCTTGTCAAGGGGTGCGTAGCGGTTGCAGCTAGGGAGGCTTAGAGGCCCGACCTGCATCTCTACTTGCCTGGCTTACCTAAAGTCGGATAGTTAGGGTTTAGGGTTTAGGGTTAAGGGATTTTGGGGTTTGGGGTTTGGGGTTTAGGGTTTAGGGTTTAGGGCCGTAAACCCCAAACCCCTCTGCAAAGCTCCTCCTGCTTTATCCGGAGCCCCGCCGGAGAGGCTGAGCTGAAGACGGACAACAGCGCACAGGCACCCCAGGATCTAAAGGTTTGGGGGTTTAGGGTTTAGGGTTTAGGGTTTAGGGTTTAGAGTTTAGGGTTGTACTTTGTAGGGTTTAGAGAGGCCTAAGGGGCTGCTTTGGGGCTGAGCCGAAGTGTCCTCAGATCGTGACTGCCAACTCCTCCTGGCCCAACGAAGGATCCTGTGCTTTCCTGGGGTTTTGAGGAACCACCCGAACCCTCCTACAAAGATTTAAACCTTAAGGGCCCAACGACCCAAGCAGGCCTTGCGAAGCCTTCAGAACATCATGAAGCAAGCGAAGAGGCGGGCCTTTTGGGAGGGCCTGGAAGGGTGTAGGGGGTGGAGGGTAAAGTGTTCGACGAGAAATCATGCGACGCCGCAGTTCATCATTGTTGGCACTTGCTGTTGTGTTTCCTTTCTCTCACTGATTTTGCAGATACCCGCGCAAGCTTTCAGCAAACATCCGGACCCCGATAGCCCAAGACTCCTTACTTGAGGAATCTGCCATCCGAATAGCCTGCCTACGAGCCATAAACTGTCAGCCCTAAGCCCTAAGCCCTAAACCCTATAAACCCTAAACCCTAAAGCTTTGTTGCGCCAAGCAAAAGCCATCAGAAGCCCTCTTCTGCTCAATTGAGACTCGGCGTCGCCACGGACGCGGTGCACAGCGCTAAAGAGTCGATGCAGCATGGTGTAAGGCCATCGAGTCTCAGGGGGGTTCATCTTGCTACTAGGGTTTAGGGTTTAGGGGTTCAGGGTGCAGGGTTTAGGGTTTAGGGTTTAGGGTTTGTTATGTATGTATACTAAGGGTAGTTTCATGGGCCCTTCATAGGGTCCCTTTCCTTCCTTCAAAGGGTTCTGAAGTATGGGCCCTTGGGTTGTATAGGGTATATACGGGGTTTCTTTTCTAAGGGCGCATTCCTATGTTGTAGGGGGTTCTTGTCGGGGTATCTCGGGACTATATAAAGGTACAAGGGTAACAGATAAAGAGGCCACCGGCCTTTATCAGCCATTTGCTTAAGAACCCCCTAAAAGGAAACATATGCTGCCTTACAAGGGTAGTATGGGAACTATTATCGTTGGACCTTTTTTTAGGGGGAGGGGGGTTCCTAAGCACTAAATGATAGTTCTACTTGGGGGTTTATGGGTAGTTGTACGTAGGGGTTGTAAGCCAGAAGTAGGGTAAGTATAAACTTATATCCTTACCTCGGGTGCTTTGTAACCCTACGTATAGCTGTGCCTCCCAAAGTAGGGGTCTCCGAAAATAGGGATTACCTTTTCTCAGGGGGCCTCCTCGAATAAGAAGGATTGTATCCATGAGGGTGCCTCCTAAATTTGGCGAAATACCCGCGAAGAGTAAGGGTTCACATGATCACATGGCCCAAAACCCTTAGCCAGGTTTGGGGGTTCAGTGTTGTGTTGCAAGAGGCACGCAGAAGCTTGGCGTGCCTGAAGAGTCTTACCTCCAGGGGCTCTAGCGTGTGCGATGGCGTGAGGTTTGGGTTTAGTGGTTCAGAGGTTTGGGGCCAAAGGTTCAGACGCTTGAGTATAAAAGCCAACCCCTGAGTTTGGGGTTTAGGGTTTGGGGTTTAGGGTTTAGGGTTTAGGGTTAGTGTGCTTATTGCACATCGCATATAAAGTAGAGAAACTCGTCGAACTGTGTCAAGACACCCGAATAGAGCCAAAGCTACAGCAATTTCTCCATGGGGAAGGTCGTGGCAGGACTTTCTTGATCCAATTGGGGGAATAGATGGAATGGAAGCACCCTAAATAACCCTAAACCCTATCGCTGCACACCATTTCTCCGGAGCCCCACAGTTCGAACCCAAGGCTCCAAAACCTCGCAATCTCTGGTGTCGACAAATCAGTTCCTACAGGCCTTATATAAACTCTGGATCCCTAAATCCCCATAACCTGCCTAAACCCCCTATGACCCTAAACCCTCAATCCCGCTCTTTGCCCTAGCCCAAACCCTAAACCCTAAACCCTAAACCCTAAACCCCCTGTGACCCTAAAGACCTTCAAACCACCAGGCTCCGTGCCCGCAAGACCCTGCGCGGCAGCATCTTCCACCGTGGGGTGCGGGCCCAAGTAAGGTTCTGAGGGTTTAGGGTTTAAGTCTTGAGAACCCCAAAACCAACTCCTTTTTTAGGTTCCTACAAAAAAACCAAAAAAAAACTGACCTACCAAAAACGTAGGTTTTGGGGTTTCTTGAGGTTTAGAGCATATTAGGTCAAGCTTGGGTTGCGAGTTTAAGGTTCGGGGCTTGGGTTGCCGTTCAGGGTGTACGGGGACCTTGGGGCGGGCGTTCTGAGGGTTTTGTGCGTAAACGGTAAGTATAAGGTTTAGGGTGTCTAAGGCCGAGGAATGCGTAGGATGTTATTTCGGGTCGTTTCGTGGCGCAAGATTTGCCGGGTGAAACCTTGATGCCTCTGTGAGGGGTGTACGGGTTTGAGGGCTGGGGTATACAGGCCTTTACACTATTTGGGGTACTATACCCCCCAAAAAAGCCTGAAAGTGTACATTTTTTTGGGGCTCATGAACTCAGCAACTAAGATGTAAACGCCCAAACCAAGACTTGTGCATTTTCTGCGGTTTAAACCCTAAACCCTAAACCCTAAACCCTAAACCCTAAACCCTAAACCCAAACCCTAAATCCTAAACCCTAAACCCTGAACCTTTGCTCGGGCTTCCTTGAATACGGATTCTTATGATTTACTTACTTATTTCTCTTTCAATTTTTGGAGGGGGGAAATTATTCTAGGGGCACCCTTTGTTTTTTGTTCTTAAAAAGCGGAAGCCCCGCATTGGCGGATTTGGAGGTGGAGATGGAGGAGATGGAGTTGGTCGACACTGCCTTCAGCGACATCTCGGCCTTCGAAGGTTCGGGCGGGGCATTCGGACTTCCGGAGTGCTTAGGGGATCCCGGTGCCCTGAAACCTAATACCCTAAAATCCCAAACCCCAAACCCTAAGCCCCAAACCCTAAACCCTTAACCCTAAACCCCAAACCCTAAACCCTGAACCCTAGACCTTGGGGCGTTCGAGGCTGAGACCTCGATGGCTCAGGGTTGGCGTAGGTAGCTATAGGTCAGGTTTTTCGGCACCACTGGAGCTCCGAACGTCCTCCGCATACTCGGAGGTTCATGGATAGGGTTTAGGGTTTAGGGTTTAGTTTGGGACTCAGGGTTCATGGGATATTATGTGAAAAGTAGGGCTCTAAGTAGGGTAACTGAACTTAGATGTAACTGCCCCATACTTCCAGGGGCTAAATAGTTAGGCTACTACATCCCTGAAGGACTCAATTACCAGGTCCCTGGAAGTATAGGGACTACCATAAACCCTAGACCCTAAACCTCCAAGTGCTACGTTTGTCCTTTTCAACAGTCGACCGTCGAGCCGCTGGAGCTCTCGGGAGCACCCACCTGCCGGAAGCTCCCAATCGCCAATCCCTCTTGGTATCCTTCAAGAATTCCGGGCCTGTTCCTAGGCAGGAGCACGATTTTGGTCCAACATGCGAGGCCTCAAACGAGACCCACTGTCACGACCTGCGCAACGCGTGGGCGGTCATGGAAACCCTAAACCCTAAACCCTAAACCCTTCTTATTCCTGGCTGTTGGAGCCCATCGTGTTGGCACATTGGGGGAAAAAGCTCCAAACCAGCGCCTCGTCGTGTGAAATCTCAATCTTGTAAAATCCTTATTCCTAGGGGCCAGGGCTTGCCCGGGCTTGCCCTGATGCCCTCTTTAAGGTTTAGGGTTTAGGGTTTGGGGTTTGGGGTTTGGGGTTTGGGGTTCGGGTTCGCTTATAAGCCCTTTTAGCCAAAACGGGTACCCTGCGCAGCTGCCTTGCTCACTGTAGCCCTCTCCCCTTTGTTGTTTTTGGTTAACCCCCCCCCTACCCCAAGTAACACTAAGTACTGTAAGTAACCCCCCAACATTGGTAAAATGGTGTAGTGCTGTGAGGAAATTTTAATGTCAGGGAGGTTGGGGGGGGGAGTTTTTTTTATTTTTGTTTTATAACCCTGAGCCCCGAACCCGAAACCCCAAACCCTAAACCCTAAACCCTAACCCTAAACCCTAAACCCCAAACCCTAAACCCTAAACCCTAAACCCAAGCTGCAGTCGCTCTTTCGTCGTCTCTGAAAGGCTTGAAGAGTGCTCAAGAGTGGCGGGGGCACCAGAAGGCCCGGCCTTTAGGGTTTAGGGTTTAGGGTTTTGGGTTTTGGGTTTTGTGTTTTGTGTTTCGGGTTGTTTTGTTCAGCCTGTTCAGAAGCAGGGTTACAAGTGGGGCAGTTTGTTTCACGACCCTACTTTGGGTACAGAACTACCCATGAACCTTCGAGCAAGCTCAGTTTCAGAGTGTGGTCTTGACGGCTCGGGGTTCAGGGCTTCAAGGATGTACGGTGCCAAGTGATTCCTAATTAAAGCCGAGCAGTCGTGAAGGTTCAGACTTGTTCGGGCTTTTGTAACAGATGCCCATAATTTGAAGTTTCCGAATTCTCAATTAGATCATTAAATCAGCAGCTTTTCAGAGCTCAGTGGCTACCAGGGTCAGAGTTTGGCTGCGTCAGGCGTCCCTTCTCACAGCCGCGGAGAACAGAGCCTCGGCATGTTGTAGCTGATGTGTCGAGAGATCTGCAACCTCTACACGCCTACCTAGACGACCCAGTACAATGGCATATGCGCCTTTGATTTTGGGACTATGGGCCAGTATGTTGGGCATGGTGGAGTGGGGCTGACATGCAGTGAGTGTGCTCTCATCCACAAGTGAGCTCCTATAAGTGTAGAAGAAGAGAGGTGGCGGGGGGCCCCGGAGTAGTTTCGCATCGGTAAGTGCAAGTGCCTAGATTTCATTCGGCATGAGAACAAAAGTCGTGTGTGCGCATATAAGCAATGCAACAACTCCGACAATGGCCAGCGCATGTCATCTTGCAATGCGGAGTAGACGCTCATGAGATTATAAAACTTCTTGAAGCCCCATAGAAGCCACCCTAAACCCTAAACCCCAAACCCTAAACCCCAAACCCCAAACCCTAAAACCCTAAACCCCACACTTGCCTTGCGGCTGCCAGAAGAGCAGACCATGCTCTGCCACTCCAAGCAAGAGATCCGGGATGCCCTCACGAAGGTCCGGCTCGACCAGCCAAGGAAACCAGGGGTTTAGGGTTTAGGGTTCAGGGTTCAGGGTTTAGGGTTCAGGGTTTAGGGTTCAGGGTTGTTAGGGTTGAGGGTTCAGGGTTTTGAGGGTCTAGGAATCCGCTTTTCGGGGCTTCAAGCCAGAAGTCCTAGACTCATGACTAGGTAGGCCCTTGGGACATTTTATATTTTCCCTTGTTGGGTTTAAGAGGGTCATATTCAGGAATATTTTTCAGAGGGGTTTAAGGGCCATCCTAGATGAGTTCTCGTAAAGTCCAGGGTTGATGATAGGGTTTAGGAAAGCTTTTTTACACTCCAGGGCTTTCTAGGGCTGAGGTTTTAGGGTCTCTCTACTTGTGCCCTACATAAGGTGTGGGTAGATATATACCTAGTTATATACACATGGAGGTTTACGATAATAAGGGACCCCTAAAAAGAGACCTCCAAATAGTAGGATTCCCTCATAATCAGGATCCCAAGAAGGTACCCCTAATTTCGGAAACTCCCATATAGATAAACCTACTTTTGACCAGTCCATGAGCCTGCGGAAGTTTCTTGAGAGGTGGCCAGCAGTGAGGCGCGAGCTGCGGTGTCCAACTTTCGGAGCATTTTGGGCCTGGGCCCCGGCATGCACTCGCTTTTTTGTTTTAAGGGTTCAGGGTTGAGGGGTTGCAGGCCGCATCTGCTAAACCCCTAAGCTCATCACTCTTCCCCAGAGCCTCTCTCCGCGGGCATTCGCACAAGCACACGTATCTCAGCAGGCCTTGAGAATTAGACGGATGTAGATGTATCCCTATCTTGATTTTTGTTTCTATATCTGTATCTGTATATATATATATATGTGTATGTATGTATATATTTCGTTTTTGCACATTACGTATTTTGATCTATACCCCCCCCCTCCAAAAAGAGAGAGATATACATATATATATATATATATATGTATCATATTGTATGACCGTATGAGGAAGTTCGCAGTTCTACTGGCAGACATTGTTGAGACGAACTCAGTGGTTCTACTGCCTAGGGTGCTTCAAATCATGCATATTAATACAGCTGTAGGACTTTAGCAGTCGGGCGAGGCCCTCGTTATACAGTTTTGGGCAGCAGCCTATTTCACTGTGCCTTTGATTGGATATATTGGTTAAGACCACACAACAGTTATAGCCACAACGTCAGGCTGTAACCAGACTATTTTAAGGTTTTCACTGCCTCCGTATATATCGAGTCCTGACATGGGTCGGCAGCTTGATTTGCGAACATAGAAGCTGATGCATGGCCTGTGAATTAGAAACATGTAATGTTAACCTAGTATTACTAAAGCCTCTAATATTAAAGTACGCCAGGTGTCCCGGCCGCAATAATAAAGCCCTGGAAATAAAGTACGCCAGTCGGGGCATGGTTCCTGGAAATTCCTGCCTGAAAAAAATCTTCAAATGATCGCTTCATGGTTTCATTAGGTTTAGGGTTCATGCCTTAGGTTTACTTGGGTTTTGTGGAGTCTTGTTGAATTAGGGTTAAGGGTTTAGGGTTTAGGGTTTAGGGTTAGGGTTAGGGTTTAGGGATAAGGGTATGGCCTGGTCTCTAAATCCGGGGGCCCCTGCAATTAAAGTCTTAGGGTTTAGGGTTTTGGGTCTGGGGTTTAATTAGGGTTAAGGGTTTAGGGTTTAGGATTTAATTAGGAAAACATGAAGCGATCAGATTTCGAAGAGAAACCTGAAAACCAAACTCCTCAGAAACTTGCTGATTTTTATTTGAGAGCCTTACTAAAGGATTGAAAAAATCTTTCTGGCAAAGGGGGTAGCTTTGGAGGCCGGTGCCCTGGAAATAATCCTGAAAGATTTGCCCCTCCGAATAAAGTTCCTGGAAATTCTTGCCTGAAAAAACAATCTTCAAATGATCGCTTCATGGTTTCATTAGGTTTAGGGTTCATGCCTTAGGTTTACTTGGGTTTTGTGGAGTCTTGTTGAATTTGGGTTAAGGGTTTAGGGTTTAGGGTTAGGGTTTAGGGATAAGGGTATGGCCTGGTCTCTAAATCCGGGGGCCCCTGCAATTAAAGTCTTAGGGTTTAGGGTTTTGGGTCTGGGGTTTAATTAGGGTTAAGGGTTTAGGGTTTAGGATTTAATTAGGAAAACATGAAGCGATCAGATTTCGAAGAGAAACCTGAAAACCAAACTCCTCAGAAACTTGCTGATTTTTATTTGAGAGCCTTACTAAAGGATTGAAAAAATCTTTCTGGCAAAGGGGGTAGCTTTGGAGGCCGGTGCCCTGGAAATAATCCTGAAAGATTTGCCCCTCCGAATAAAGTTCCTGGAAATTCCTGCCTGAAAAAAATCTTCAAATGATCGCTTCATGGTTTCATTAGGTTTAGGGTTCATGCCTTAGGTTTACTTGGGTTTTGTGGAGTCTTATTGAATTAGGGTTAAGGGTTTAGAGTTTAGGGTTTAGGGTTTAGGGTTTAGGGTTTAGGGTTTAGGGTTTAGGGTTTAGGGTTTAGGGTTTAGGGTTTAGGGTTTAGGGTTAGGGTTAGGGTTTAGGGATCTGATCCTCTCTAATTCTCTCTAAGGAAAGGAATCCTGAGAGATTCTCTCTGATCCTCTCTAATTCTCTCTAAGGAAAGGAATCCTTATTCAAAGGGGCCCCCCACTCTATTTGGGGGGGTTTGATTGAAGGGGGGGAGGGGGGGGGTTTATTATTACTAGGTCAACATTACTGTCGTGGTAGCTTTCGTCGAGTCAGACTCTCACTGACATGTCGATTCCATTTTTTGGCATTTGTTTACTTCCATTTGTGTTGAAGGAGCGTGTCGTGCCTTGGGTGGGGGAGGGGAGCGTTTGAAATCTCTGTGAATTAGGGTGAAGGTGCCACCTGCCGGCAGGGAGCTTAAGCAAATGTCTAGGGTTGAGGGTTCAGGAATTAGGGTTTAGGCCCTATCTCGAGATCCCTGAGCTCCAAATCACCCCGATAAGACTCTAAGACCCCACGACCCTCCGACACCAAAACCCTAAAACCCCTGAAACCCTAAACCCCTAAGCCCTACACCCCTAAGCCCTAAACCTCAACCCTAACCCTAAACCCCAATCCCTAATCCCTAATCCCTAAACCCTAAACCCTAAACCCTAAACCGACCTGAAGGTTGGATGGGCGACCGGCCACTTCCGGAGTGCCAGCGCATGGGCTACACCGAGGCAGCTCGGAGAGCTTACGTAGGGCTGGTGGGGTTTAGGGTCTAGGGTTTGGGGTTTAGGGTTTAGGGTTTGGGGTTTAGGGTTTAGGGTTTAGGGTCTAGGTTTAGGGTTCAGGGTGTAGGTTTAGGGTTCAGGGTGCAGGGTTCCGGGTTCAGGGGTTTGGGGGGTTTAGGGTTTAGGGTTGAGGGTGTAGGGTTGCACCTGATATCGAGGTCGGAATAGTTACTAATGGCATTGCCTTATGGCCCTACATATTTATCCTATGGTAACCCCCAAAAAGACCCTATTCTAATCATTAAAGCCCCAAAGAGTAGGGGTTTGGGGCTCAGGTTTGAGGGGCTTAGGATATCGAAGGTTCGGGACGTCAAGATGAGCTTAGGTGGGAGCAGTGGGTAGTGTTCGGTAACCTTGGGTTACATTATTAGGGTTTCGGGTTTAGGGTCTAGGGTCCTCCTTGAACCCCTCCCTTAAGAACCCGTTAAGTAGACCTAACCCCGGCTCAACCCCTAAAGACCAGCCCTGGGACGTTTATCCTACGGGTTTAGGGTTCGGGCCTTTATAAGTTTAGGATTCAGGGTTTAGGGTTTAGGCTCCAGGGCTGAAGACTCTTGTGTAAGCTTGTTTAGAGGGCCTAAAGACCACACATAACCATACAACCTCCAACTTGAGCCCTTTTCGAGAGCGTTCTGTGCCTATGGTCTAGAGGCAACGAGGTTTCAAGTTTATTTTTTTGGGGCGAGTTTCGGGTTTGTGTATCAAACTCTAAACCCAAAACCCTGTATTCAAGGTTTGGGTGTGAAGGTGCGGCTCTTACTACTTGCTGTGCCAGGCTTGCTTGGTTACATGCTCATCTTGTGCTGTTCTTGTACTGGTATAAGTTTTCTTGCGGGGCCCGAAGGCCATGCAGCACAATAAGGTTCTAGCTAGATTCCAGCGCTGAAACCCTGTCTGCCCTAAGCAATCCGTCAGGACATCATTGGTGTGGCCCGCAGCAGCCAGAGCCTAGCCGATGAAGTCTACGTCCAGGCCACCCTAAACACCAAACTCCCACAAACCATAAGTGGGGGTTTACGAAAACGATAACCCCTAATACAGTCCACAAATAGTAGAATTCCTTACAATACGGATCCCAAGGTACCCCTATTATCGTAAACCCCTACGTACCCTTTTCTTTATTGATTTGTTTCAAACGAGTGGTTGAGGCTCTACAAGCCTTAGCCAGCACCCGACTTGCTGTAATCCCCAAGCTCCCAATCCGTACGATCGGACCCCATTGTTCTGACCGGAAACAAACTTACCCCTAAGCAAGGAAATGAGGTGCTTCCTTGGTAGTTGAGTCTGGGCCACCTGCGTGTTGCTTGTTGACAGCTCTTCGTATAAATAAGCGAAATGTCTGGGCAAGTCAGCAGGAAGAGGATCAGGAGTGAACAAGACGGAGAGAGACACTGGCACAGACAGATTGTTCTGGCACTGGGCTAATGCAGAAACTAAGTTACGAGGCCAAGGGCTGAGGCTGCGCAGGGATGAACGCCCGCACGGCGCAACACGGAAATGTTTAGGCAGCCAAGCGACTGTGCGTAGCGCTGTGGCCTCCATCTGCCGGCTGCTTCTTGAAGCTCGAGGGAATTGGGACACCTAGGTGTTTTTTTGGACGTCCATCGGGCAATACATGCCAAAGGATATGAGGAAGTCGAATTGAAGTTCGATCGTTGGCAGTTACCCCGAGGATCATGCCCAGTCGATGTTTGTATTATTAAGGTTGGGCAATGAAAGTACCACTTTACTTCACTTCGGTTCCCTCCACTCCATCCCCAAGACCTGTGACTCTGGAGGTTTAGAGGGTTCATTTGTCCTTAGGGGCTGGGCAGCTAACCTTTTAACCTTTTTTGGTTATATTAGAATCCTATAGCAAATAAAAGGTTCACCTTTTTTGGGCTAGGGTAGTCAGCCCCTAAGAGTCTGTTTTGAGCTGCTCTGCCTCGCAGGTCGTGAAGCAGCTGAGAGACAACCCGTCTCCTCGCTCGGTTCTGCGGCCTGGCGGAAGATGCGGACTCTGATGCAACAATCAAGGCCCCTAAACCCTAAGCCCGAAGCCCTAAACCCTAAACCCTAAACCCTAAACCCTAAACCCTAAACCCTAAACCCTAAACCCTAGAAGCCCTAGTCCCTATCAATTTGTGGCCGCAAGGCGCCTTCAAACCCTAAACCCTATACCCTAAACCCTAAACCCTAAACCTTCAACACGAAGCACTTTCCTATCGTTTCGTGTTCCGCTGCCCTTCGGGGTGCGCAGACGAGCAAGGCCAGGACCCAGGGTTTAGGGTTTAGGGTTTAGGCTTTAGGGTTACTCCCTTTTTTGGGGTGGGGTTGAGGTTCCATTGTAAGCTGTAAGCCCAAAAAAGGGGCACCCTTTGTATTCCCAGGGTTACTCTTGGGGGCTAGCAGGGTTGAGTTGGCTTGGAGACTGTCCTCAACCCTACCCAAGCTGAATTACCGAGGCACGCCAAAACCCGAAACCCTAAAGACAGGCATCCCTGAGCCCGTAGGTTTAGGGTTTAGGGTTTAGGGTTTAGGGTTCGGGGTTCAGGGTTTAGGGTTTAGGGTTTAGGATTTAGGATTTAGGGTGGGGGTTCTAAGAAAGGGGGTTTATATAGGGGTTTCATGAAGGGATCCCCTTAGGAGGGCTCCGTAGAAGAGGACCCCTTATTAGGAAGCTTCTGGGAGCCCCTTAAGGAGGTCTTCGGAAGTTCTTCGGCAATGGGGCCCTGATCTATGTAGTCCCCTGTGTTTCTTCCATGTACTTCTACGGAATGAAGAGATTACGTACCCTACAGCTTCCTTACAGGGTATACGTATATGCAGGGGGGATTTTTCCCCTTTAGTTCAGGGATCCTATAGGGTACGTACCTCATTCCCTACTAAGATCCAGTAGGTATACCCCCAAGGATCGGAGTTTGGATTTCTGCGAACTAACCTGAAACGAGCTGCATGTTGAGCCTTCGGGTAACCCTAAACGCCAGAAAACCCTTGCGAAGGCCTAAAGGAATCCGGTATAATCCCTATATTAACCCTGCAGCCCCCAAAACCCCATGACTTTAACAAAAAACATTACTTTAAACAAAAACCCTAAACACAAACCTCTACCAGGTTCCCATGACTCATGTGGGTGGTTGTCAAAATCACGGTCCCTTTTTGGGTACTAGTTTAGTACGGCACCGACTATTTAGGGTACTCCAAAAGGGATCATAATTTTAACAGACACCCTAAACCCTAAACCCTAAACTCCAAACCACGTGGGGTTCTTAGGAGATCGCTTTGTCATAGTGGCTCGGGATCGGAGACTCGGCCAAGGTTGGGCTGGAAGCTGCTGCTGCGCCTGTGCCAGCAGGTCCCAGAGCGCGTAAAAAGCCACAGCCCCACTACACCAAGGTTAGGGTTTAGGGTTTAGGGTTTAGAGTTTAGGGTGTATGGTTTAGGGTTCATTTGGTTTTGTGGAGGTTTGTGGGGTGAAGATGGGGTGGAGGAGGTGCTTGAGCTTAGGCCTTAGGGTTCAGCAGGGCTGCGGGTTCACGTCGAGATGCTCCTGGCACAAGCCTGCTTAGGGTGTAGGGTTTAGGGTTTAGGGTTTAGATGCGCCAGAGAGAGCGGCCCTGTGCAGGTCCGCCCAAGTGACAAGCTGGAGGAGTTCATCAGGCAAGCAGCCCATAGGGGCCCATACGACCTTTACATCCCACTGCAGGCTCAAGCCCGAACTCAGTCCGATCCCCCCCCCCCCCCCCCCAAACTGCCCGAAGGAGCTCCGGACGAATGTTTGCCCTGAGCCTGTCTAAAATGCTGCTACAAACGTTTTCTTTCATTTGGCTTACGAGATTCTCTGGGCTGGGTCTGCAAGGGGCAGGAGTTGATTCCTAATTGCATGCCCGCCTTCAGCCCTGCACTCAAATGGAAGCGCTCGGGGTTTAGGGTTTAGGGTTTGAGGGTTTAGGGGTTTAGGGTTTAGGGGTTTAGGGGTTTAGGGTTTAGGGTTTCGGCGTTTGAGCTCTGAAGCCTACCAATATCCTTCCAGGTCCTTTGCCATGCACCAGGTGAACAGCAGCAACCACGAGGCCTGAGCCTCCCTGATTCACCTCAGGGCCATGACGGTGTCAAGGGTGTAGGGTTTAGGGTTTAGGGTTAGGGGTTTGGGGTTTTAGGGTTTAGGTTTTAGGGTTTCTGGTTTAGGGTTTAGGGTTTAGGGTTAGGGTTATGGTCGAGAAGACTGAAGTGGATGTGACCGAATGATGGTTTCGAGTTTCGTATCTTCGGGGTCCACAAGAGGCCCTCGTAGATGGCATGCCATCTTCATTGCGTGGGAGCAGGGCTCATGTTAGGGGTACTGCTTTACCTTTTTGGTCGTTTGTAAGAGTTCCTATAGAGGTTGTCTCTGTCAGGAGTCTGAGAGGATCCCTCTTTTTAAGCGTAGGTCGAGGGGGGAGGGGCAGAGGGTTTACTGTTTAGGGGTGGAAGAGGCTCTCACCCTCTCCGGTGTTTTCTGAAGTCCCTTCGGACGTGAAGCTTTACTTCAAGGTGCGTGGGTAGTTACACAGTAGGCCCATGTGTGCCTTGACTAAGAACATGAATATAGATGAACAAGCAACCTTCGAGCAAGCCTTCAACCCTGGGCCCTCGACTCCAAACCCGAAGCCTTTGGACCAAGCTAACGGCCGTCAAGGTCTCGCAGGTGGCAAAGCAATGTGCCGGGCCCTCATGGGCGCACTCCATTCATCCCACAAGCCAGGTAGTGTACATGGTTGATCCAACATGCGAACTAGGGATTTGTCTGGTGTCCTGAGTGTATACATCGTCCCTTCTGCTTCAAAGCAATAAAGAGGCCCGGCCTTTCATCACACAACACAGACCATCTACAGCTCAACTTTGCACCCTCATCTTGCATAGAGGCCTCTCCTCTTCCCCCTATCCGCCCTATCTCCCCTTTCCCCCCCGTCCCCCCCCCCTGTCCCCCTCCCCCCTCAATTCAGGGTTATGAAGTATCATGCAGGGCCTTGACAGGGCCTTGACTGGGTCTGGTAGAGGGTGTATTGAATTCTCTTGGGTATTTTGGGGCAGCATCTACGGTACTTACAAAAGTCCGGGATGATGTTGGTGATTAATTTTAACGCTACGCGACCCGCCTCGGCCCGGCCCAGCGCATCCGCGTGAGCATGGTGATTCCGCAGCGCCCAAGTCGCTGGACCCCAAGCAATAAAGGGTTGAGGGTTGAGGGTTGAGGGTTCCGGGTTTATGGTTTATGGTTTGGGGTTTGGGGTTGAGGGTTAGTTTAGGGCTCAAGGTTCACGCTTTGGGGTTGAGGGTTTTTTTGGGTTTAGGGTTCGGCTTGGAGTGATCGTAGGGTTGAGCCAGGCCCCTTAAGGTTTAAGGCGACTCTTCGGCAGGGTGGGGGGGAGGGGGGCAGGGGGTGGGGTGGGGGGACTGCCTCTGGTCCTGGCGAACCGTCCGCTTGCGGACCCCGGTTTCCCAGGGGGGTACCCATTTGAGGCCAAAAAAAGGGGTCCGAAAAAGGGCTTTGGGTGTGGGGGGAGGATTTGGAGGGGGGTGCCTGTTCTGACAACCTATACACCTCCGCCCGAGGCCTCGGCGGATTATTCAGGCCCCGGTTTTACGGGTTTAGGGCTTTATAGAGTTTAGATTCGACAAATTCAGGGTCCAGGGGACTAGACCTATTATTATGGGCTCGATGCCCTGTAGAACATGGAACAAGAAGCCGCAGCTTCCCTTGAGCTAGACTCCTATACACCCTCGTACCAAAAAGTCCCAAAGCTTCAACCCTCAGTAAACCCTACACTAAACCCTAGAGTTTAGGGTTTCGGGTTTAGGGTTTAGGGTTTATAAATAGGGTCCTAAACCCTAAACGCGTAAACCCTACGCCCAACGGGCACTCCCAGGTGTCTGACCTCAACATCAATGTTGCTCCTGACAAGCCGCGTCCGGAGGGCATCCGGCCCAGCAATGTCCAGGGACCCCCCGTCAGAATCTGGGGGGCAGGGTTCCTAAAGTAGGAGTACCCTTTAGGGGGGGGCTTCGTATTCCCAGGGAGTATAGTAGATGCACGTTGGTACACACACACATATATATATATACACATGTGTATATGAATTTCTTTGGGAGTGCTTCACAGGGCCCTGTACTAGTTTGCGAAAATGGGGGTCGGAGCTCCAATTCCAAGATTTTAGTGTGTGTGTGTGTCTACATATATAGCTTGCTTTTGGGGTTTGTAATAAGTGGACCGCTATTTGGGGAACTGCGCTTCAGGCATGTCATGCATGAGGGGACATTTGGGTGATGTCGGGTTCTGGCTTGCAGGTGTTGTGGCCTGTGGCCTTGTCGAAGCTGAAAGCCTCTTTGTCTCCACTCGGGGGCTCGTTTAAGCCTTAAACCCTTAACCCTTAACCCTTAACCCTTAAACCCTAAACCCTAAACCCTAAACCCTAAACCCTAAACCCTAAACCCTAAACCCTAAACCCTAAACCCTAAACCCTAAACCCTAAACCCTAAACCCTAAACCCAACCCTAAACCCACCCTAAACCCTGGACGCAACCCTGGTTGGACTGCGTTTTGTGTTGCTTGGCTTCCTGGTTTGGAGACGCACCAGAGACCCCCAAACTACCTAATCTGATGACCTGTGCACTCTCCATCCTAAACCGTAAACCTAGGGTTTAGCGTTGTGGGTGTTTGGGATTAAGGGGTTTAGGGTTAGGGTTGAGGGGTGTTCAAGCCCCAGACCCATTTAGGGACAACGGCAAGAGTCATGGGTGCTTGGGGGCCCAGGCAAGGGTATGATCTTGGCCGCCGACCATACGCTCCTAGGGTTTAGGGTTTAGGGTTTAGGGAACAGGGTTTAGGTTTTAGGCCTTTCAATAGAGTCGCGTTTAGGGATTGGGGAGTTTGGCAGTTTGCTTGGGCTTAAGGTTCGAAGGGGCTTGACAAGCTTGATTTTGGATTTCATTGTTTCCGGGCTTAAGGAATGTCAAGATCGTCCCAGGTGATGTGGAGCTCATCCCTATCACAGCTGCCCTGGCATAGGGTTACAGGTTGAGTTGTGGTGTGTGTGTGTGTGTGTGTCTCGCTCTCTCTGTGTCTCTGTGTGTGTGTGTCTCACTCTCTCTCTCTCTCTCTCTGTGTCTCTGTCTCTCTGTGTGTGCGTGTGTATGTGTGTGTGTGTGTGTGTCTTCGTGCGCGTTGGGCGTCTTTTTGCAGTTCCTGAACCCGAAAACCAAAACATGGGCCGGCCCAGCAGTCAGAGCCGAACTAGTTCCACAACCAATTTCCTAGACTTCCCCTTGTCATTGCAACCCTAATTCCTAAACCCTAAACCCTACCCTAAAATTGGGGGTAGCATGGTTGCTTGTCTGTTTCGGCCGTCTTCGAGTCTTTTGCCTGGAGCCCCGTACGATGCGGAGAATGCATATATCCCCGAGAGGGCTTTTTTATATAACACCCTACCTTTTAATGCCAACTTTAAGACTGCACTAGGGTTTAGGGTTTAGGGTTTAGGGTTTAGGGTTTTAAGCGCTGTATGCTGCCAGCCAGGTGCTTCTCATCGACTACAGCATCAGGAAGGCACGCAAGATGCTGAATCCTACTGCAAACCTTGCAACAGGCATCCTGATCTGAGCTTATTTCCCAGGATTTGGGAGACTTTCGCGTGTGTTGGGTGGATTAGCCAGCCATCCAGATCTGCAGACCTACGATTTGCGCCGCCGATGTAGCCTCAAGCTGCTGTAAGGACATCCTGGCACGCAGACGCTCGAACTCGCTGTTTAGGGTTTAGGTTTTGGGATTGGGGTCGAGGTTCATGGCATCATACAGGAGATATGAGCCACTGATTGGGTTTCCGGTTTTGCTTCGGCATGCAGCTAAAAAGGCACATGAAAAAGATGAATGAGTGACACGAGCAAGCCCATTCAAAGCCATGGCATGGTGTGCCTGAATGCTCAGCCAAAAAAACCCCAACCCCTGCGACCCTCGACCTGAGCGGACCTCAAAACCTCGGGACCCTCACTCCTGCAACCCTAAACCCTAAACCCTAAACCCTAAACCCTAAACCCTAAACCCTAAACCCTAAACCCTAAACCCTAAACCCTAAACCTAAACCCTAAACGATAGACTGCTCATAAAGACCCAAACCCCGCGTCACCGCATGGGCCTTCGCCTGCACTGGCATGAGAGCATGGCTGCCACCACCACGGCCTGGCCCTGAGCAGCTGCGTTGATTGGGTTTAGGGTTTATGGTTTAGGGTTTTAGGGTTTAGGGTTTAGGGCTTAGGGTTTAGGGTTTGGGGGTATGGGGTTTAGGGTTTAGGGTTTAGGGTTCAGGGTTCAGGGTTCAGGGTTCAATGTTTCGTGTTTAGGGTTCAGGGTTCAGGGTTGACTAGACAACATGCCCTGCCCTAAGACCTGCAAAAGGTGTAGGTCTGAATGTTGGCCCCTCTTTACTGTGTCCCGACCCCGAAAATGTTCCTTTAAAGACAAGAGGACCCCACCTTACCCCACCCCCAACCCAGGAAGCTACTGCACCCTCCTCATGCTGGCAAAACAGGTGTTAAAAAATGGGCCTGCCTCCTAAGCAGGCTCCAGCACTCGCCAACAATACCGCAGTCAGCTTCAGCTGCATTGTAGTATGACGCTGCTTGAAGCACTGCACGCATCGCACTCATAGGGCATATTTAACCCAATTGCAGCTCTCCTGGATCCCAAGCCCCAACAATTTCAAATGCCCGAAGCTTCGTAAACCCTGAAACCCTCAAGCTCTAAGTCCCTAAACTAGAACACAGAGTAGGCTCCTTATTACTTTTTGTTAGGATCTAGGCTCCCTGATTAAGCCTCCTTAAATTCCAGGCTACTCCCGGGTCTAGTGAAACCTCAACCCTGAATCCTGAAAGAAATGCTGTTGAAGCCCTGGGAAATATACGCCGAAGAAGATGCCAGGAACCTGCCAGAAACACGAACGGCCGAGTCAATGGCAGTTGTGCCGCAGGCCTTTGCTACGTCAAAGAGGGGTAGGGTTTAAGTTTAGGGGTTTGCCTGTTTTGGGGGGCTTGTGGGGGTGTGCGCGGCTTGCTCCTGTCCCGTAAACCCCCCCCAAAACCGTGAGCTTTGTGCTGAAGCCTATACCAGCCTTGAACCTGAAATCACGAAGTCTTCAACCCTCTTGAGGACGCTTTGATTCAGCTGCTTGCGTTCATTCCCCTGGACGTCTCATTGGGATGTTAACTTAGTAGCTGAATGGGGACACTTTACACTTTTGGGGTACTAGAATCTCCTGTAGAACTGAAAATGTACACTTTTTTGCGGGCTCCTGAACTCAGCAACTAAGTTAAAGTCCTGAAAACGTTACTAAAAACTCCTGAAAGCTACCAACTACTTGTACCAGCCTCCAGAAAGAATCTCACCCACGCTCTCAGGGTTTAGGGTGTAGGGTTTAGGGTGCATGAGTATGACCATGAAGCCAAGCTTGAGTGAGATGCGTTTTGTGGGGCAATTCGGGCAGCATCCTTGCTAAGAAACATGGGTAAAGTCGCGCCAAAACCCCCTAACCCCCAAACCGTAAACCCTAAACCCTAAACCCTAAACCCTAAACCCTAAACCCCTCAAAGGGTAAGCCTACACTGCCCTACGCCGTGGTCACCATAGTATAGAAGTGTTCCATGGGTTTTAAAACGGGTCCATTGTCCTGCCCCTCACAAGCAGTTCTCAACTGTCAGCGTTTTGTTTCTTCCTAAACCCCACAGAGCCTCAACCCATCCAAACCCCAAACTGTGCCTCGATTGAGATGTCTCTTTATGCCCTTAGAAGGAGGGTCGTTCGAAGGATTCGCAGAATCGGAATGCGAGCCAAACGCCAAGAGGGCCAGAGTGGCGAGTCACGAAGGCCGTTTCTTTTGTCTAGGAGGGTTTTAGGGCTTCATTTGAGGGATTCTCTCTAAACTCTGGGGGACCTTTTTGGGTTCTCTTAATATAAGGCTGCGTGCCACACAGTGTTCCCCAGAAGGGACCATTATTATGAGAACCCCTCCCCACCATATTCGGGAGAGAGAAGATGTGTCAGGCTTTCTTGTTCAGGGAGTGGCGCTGCTCTGGTCTGGTGAATGTAGTGGGGTTCATACTTGTATTAGCTGGACGGGTACATTGAGGAGTTCTTTCTTTTTTTTCTATTCGCTGGATTGGTACATTGTGGAGTTCTTTCTTTCTTTTTCTTAGCTCTTCATGCAGCATGCCACTGAAGGAGGATTGCAATGTGCCCCAAGAATGTTTGTGATGCGGCACCCTGCTTTATTTCATGGCACGAGATATTGCAATCCTCCTTTGTTGCCGGGCTGGGGCAGCGTTCCGAAGTCACACTTCGAACACAAGTTGCTCATCTTGCAATCTGAAAAGCTCTGAGTTTGGACTCCGTACATGAAGAATTCTCATGTCTAGCCCCTCTGAGAAGCGATGTTTTTTGGCAACATCCAACACTGTCCCAGCCCATGACACTTGGCTACTGGGGACTAACCTTGTGCATGTTTGAGCTAGGTTTTACAGCCACGTGCTTGGTGCTATGGTAGGATACATGGGGGTTTCCGACTGCTCAGGAGATGGTCTAGGCCTATGTGAATGTTCGGAAACCCCAAGGTGAGCGAAAAGGTTAATCCCCAAGACCTTTCATGCTCCACGTTGCCCTAAACCCTAAACCCTAAACCCTAAACCCCAAACCCTAAACCCTAAACCCTTAACCCTTAACCCTAAACCCAAAAACCAAAACCCAAAACCCAAAACCCCATACCCTAAACGTTTCCCTGACAAGGCGAGCCAGGCACGGAGCATGGCGTGTGCAGAGCCCCCGCCCCTACGTGGGTTCACGGTTCGGGGGGGAAAGCCTCTAGTCTGAGTCTACAGGGTTTAAGTGTGTGAGAGGTTTGCGTGTAAACGTTCAGAGGCTGTAATTTAAAGTAAGTATCCTGAAAGCTTGGGAATATACCCCTGCACCCTAAGCCCTAAATCCTACAACGCTGACGGTTTGCAGTTTTGGGTCTTTGCGTGCTTCAGGCCTCTCATTCGAGGACGTCTCAGCTGGAGTTCTACGGGGTTTAGGTCTAGGTGGATTGCCACGCGGCAGCTAAACCCCAAACCCTCACCCCTGAATGCCTCCGACCCTCAGCACTTCTTGGGTCAGGCAACTGCGCGGTTGCTGTTCCTGATCAAAGCAAGTGTGGCGCTGAGGGTTGTTCTTGGGTGTTTAGGCCTGTGAGTCTACCGAAAGCGTTGGACCCTACCATGCTACCCATCTTTGTAGCTGAGCGAAGAAAAAATTTGCACTTTTTGGGTTTCAATTCCCTATAATTAGAACTGAAAGTGTGCACTTTTTTGGGGGCTTATCAACGAAGCCGTTATGCGGGCCTATGCGCCCTTTTGGGGCTTTGGTGCAGTACTACGGGCTCTTTTGGGTGTCCATTGTGATCAGTTGGTTCATTTGCAGTGCCTTTGAAGCATGTTTAGTACACATCGGCACGTAAGCTGCGGTCCACATTGTCCTCTCCTTCGTTCTTGTTAGCGCCAGGCTTCTTCCTTTTAAAGCCCCATTCGACGCAACGGGCCTTTGTCAAGTTTGTGTTCCTGAACTTAAGGAACCCTTGCTTGGAGGCTCATGGGTATTTCTGTGGGGTTATAAGTAGGGTAGGTATGTTTGTAACTGGTTATAACCTTTTTTAGGGTGCCTCTACCCCTACTTCTAACTACTCATGAACCTTCAAGTAGCCCTGAGCCCTAAACCCTAAACCCTAAACCCTAAACACTAAACCCGAAACCCTGTAATTTTGTGACCCCAAGTCCCCGACTCAACACCCTGCAACCTGTTTCACAGCCCGGACAAGAAGCCCTAAGCCCGAAGCCCCTACCATCTTTGAATGCCCCTTAGGGGGGTTTAGGGTTTAGGGTTTAGGGTTTAGGGTTTAGGGTTTAGGGTTTAGGGTTTAGGGTTTCAGGCTCGGACCATGCGCAATCACAGCTTCTGCCCTAAGGGCCTCAAACCTTAACACCCCCCAA